TTTTTTTGAGGTTAGGATTTTCATGCATTAGTATTTGACAGATCACGTGGGATTTCAGACATGGTGTCAAAGAGAAAGATGCTCAGTATGCTTTGACATTTCATCATGAATAGACTTACTAACGAGCAACGCTTGCAAATCATTGAATTTTATTACCAAAATCAGTGTTCGGTTCGAAATGTGTTTCGCGCTTTACGTCCGATTTATGGTCTACATAATCGACCAAGTGAGCAAACAATTAATGCGATTGTGACCAAGTTTCGCACTCAGTTTACTTTATTGGACATTAAACCAACCACACGAATGCGTACAGTGCGTACAGAAGAGAATATTGCGTCTGTTTCTGAGAGTGTTGCTGAAGACCGTGAAATGTCGATTCGTCGCCGTTCGCAGCAATTGGGTTTGTGTTATTCGACCACATGGAAGATTTTACGCAAAGATCTTGGTGTAAAACCGTATAAAATACAGCTCGTGCAAGAACTGAAGCCGAACGATCTGCCACAACGTCGAATTTTCAGTGAATGGGCCCTAGAAAAGTTGGCAGAAAATCCGCTTTTTTATCGACAAATTTTGTTCAGCGATGAGGCTCATTTCTGGTTGAATGGCTTCGTAAATAAGCAAAATTGCCGCATTTGGAGTGAAGAGCAACCAGAAGCCGTTCAAGAACTGCCCATGCATCCCGAAAAATGCACTGTTTGGTGTGGTTTGTACGCTGGTGGAATCATTGGACCGTATTTTTTCAAAGATGCTGTTGGACGCAACGTTACGGTGAATGGCGATCGCTATCGTTCGATGCTAACAAACTTTTTGTTGCCAAAAATGGAAGAACTGAACTTGGTTGACATGTGGTTTCAACAAGATGGCGCTACATGCCACACAGCTCGCGATTCTATGGCCATTTTGAGGGAAAACTTCGGAGAACAATTCATCTCAAGAAATGGACCGGTAAGTTGGCCACCAAGATCATGCGATTTGACGCCTTTAGACTATTTTTTGTGGGGCTACGTCAAGTCTAAAGTCTACAGAAATAAGCCAGCAACTATTCCAGCTTTGGAAGACAACATTTCCGAAGAAATTCGGGCTATTCCGGCCGAAATGCTCGAAAAAGTTGCCCAAAATTGGACTTTCCGAATGGACCACCTAAGACGCAGCCGCGGTCAACATTTAAATGAAATTATCTTCAAAAAGTAAATGTCATGGACCAATCTAACGTTTCAAATAAAGAACCGATGAGATTTTGCAAATTTTATGCGTTTTTTTTAAAAAAAAAGGTATCAAGCTCTTAAAAAATCACCCGTTATATGAAGACGTATTTCTGCGTATGCATTGCCTTTATGCTCATCTTCAGTGACCTAAAATTACTTCGTAGGCAAGCAATCTTTATCGAGGGGCATACTACATGCACACATACATATGTATGTATGTACATTCACTTTCCTCAATTTGCTCACTTCGCTCAGACCGCATTGTACTGCACTGCACTTTTATGCCACCACAATTACTCCAACATCAATGACGCGTAGTCAGGCAATTCCTCTATGTCACACATAACTACACGAACACTTCTGAAAATACATATGTATGTATGTATGTATGTGTGTGCAGCCAAATGGCAGTCGTTAAAAGTTCAGCTCAGCACCGTTATGCATTGTTATCGGCCGCTATCCTTGTCATCGTCGTCGTCGTCGTCTGCCTTCCCTTCTCCACCGACGACAATGCCGGATTGTCGTCGCCACCGATATCGACTTTACTGTCGCCCATCATCGAATGCATTGCCGTTGATGTTGTTAAATTTGTTCCTCTGTCTCGATATTTTTGTCGTGATAAAATTCGTTCGTTTGCATTTACTTACAGCGGCAGCGGCATGCAATTTGCTGAGGGCTGATTTATGCTTTGCTGTGGTAATTTCAAGTCTAATTCTTGGATAAGCTCAAGTGTCATTTGACGTACATATATAAGCATAACGAATGTTCGTGTGGATTCTATACTTGCTCCTTAAATAAATCTAGGGGCAATTTTCTTTGAAATCCTCGACTTAGCTGCTTATGTCGAGTTTGCACTAGCTTTCCAAATACTGATTTACAGGTATGTATTACCTATTAAATGCCTAAAAATTGAATTCATTTATCAGTATCACCGAAGTCAGTAGCGCATTAATGCTTTGAGAAAATATGCAATGCAAATAATTTAATATGTCTTAGAGAAACTTATGCAGCATAGCTAAGCTAACGAGAAGGTTTTAGCGTTATTATATTTATCTTTTAGTAATAAGTTTTCTAAAACTAAAAATTTGAGAAAATTTAAGCAACAAGAAAATAACTGAATTTAAAAAATTTAAAAAGTTTATAAACATTAAATAAAATTTGAAAATATTTATTTTTTTAACAATAAAACTTAAAAATTAGAAGAAAAAATTTTATTCAAAAGTAAAAAATTCCAGCGCCTTCGTCTTGGTCTACAATTGGTCTAAATTCAAACATAGTATACGTGGTATGGTTATGAGCATATCCAAGTCAAAAACGAAAGTACACTAAGAAAAAATAAGAAAATCGATAAAAATATCAATGACAAAATCGATAAAAAAATCGATTACAAAATCTATACAAAAAATCTATAACAAAATCGATTAAAATATCGATAGCAAACTCGATAAGAAATATCGTTTATTATATCAACAAGTTCCGGAAATATCGGTAGCAAAATCGATAACAAAATCGATAAAAATATCGATAACAAAATCGATAAAAAAAATATCGATAACATAACCGATAAAATATCGATTATTATATCGATAGGTCCCTAGAATTCCGAAAATCTCCAAAGTCCTAAAATAGTCCCCAGATTGAGTCTTTGTCGATATCCTTTTCTCTATATTTACCTTTATTTTAATCTTTCTTCCTCTATCTTCATCTTTACTTTTATCGGTATCCTCATCCTCATATTTTTCTTTATATTCATCATTGGTTTTACTTTTATGTTTATCATATTCTTCATATACATATTCCCCCTACCCTTTGCCTTTTATAAATATTGTGCCATCTGTTATTCAAGAGCCGAAGTAGCTACACACATATACTTTCTGTCTCCTTCTCTCACTTCCAGCGCATGCACGTGCTTGCAAAATGATGACGAAGTGATTTTGAATGGAAAAGCATTTATGCCCATACATACATATATTTGAATCAAAAAAACATACCTAAAAGATATCAATCAATACTTAACATATACCAAACGAAAGGAAAACACGATATTCGATTAAAGAACAAAAAACAAAACAAAATCGTTCGAGCGGTTTTCGAGCATTTTGGTTTTAAAAAAATTTGCAAATTTTTTAAACAATTTTTGGCCTTTAAATGCTCGGTATTTGTTGAACTTATATAAAATTTGTACACAACAATGTTTCTAGTGCTCCAAAGAACCTATATCCCGAAAATGAAAGTTTTATCTGCAAATCATAAGTTGCTAGAGCACTTTAAAGGCTCAAAATTTACCCCAAAATAAGCCAATATTTACAGTTATTTCGACGACAGACACTGAATCGGTTACTTACATAACTGTATCTGCCGATAGGCTTGGAGTTTTTTCTTTGAAACGGCACAGTTTTCTTTGAAATCGTTTTACTAGTGTTTTCGTGAAGCTCTAAAAATTACAACTACAACATTTTAACATAGCCTCCACATCGAAACGTAGACGTACATACGTCTACGTCAAAAACTCGGTTGCCGAGGATTGAACTCGGAACTCTCGAATGACACGCCATTGCTCTACTCACAGGGCCGGTGCTACTATTACAGCAAAGTTAGCGAAATTGAAGTTGAATGAAAACAAGCACAAAATGTCAGAATCATTAATTAAAAATTCACATTAAATCTTACACACAGCTATCCGCATCTCGTCATATTCAGACGGTGGGAAATCGACTTCATCGTCATCGACTGGGGGCTCGGGTTCGTCTTCTCCACTACCTTCAGTGCTGCTGCCATTCAAAAGGGTAGGAAAGTGTTCCCTCCATAATTTAAAAAACTGGAAGCATGCCTTCCGTCTATCATAACATGGTTGATATGGTTTCTCGTTTTTCGATCTGGAGACAGCCATGTATTTAGCTTGATGGATTTTTTTTTCTTGAACCTAGTACTACAGTGTACCATGTTTCGGCCCGCGGCGAAGACAGTTAAGATCTAAAAAATTTATATTTTCTCAATAAACGAGACGACGACGAGACTAACGATAACAATAACGATGGCCTATCCCAACTCCACTTAACCCCTTATTGGATGGGTAGGTACATGAATACCACATAAAAATATGCAGAAAATTTAGGATTTGTTCTGCCATATATATATTTTCTTTAGAATGCAGTTTTTTAGTCTATTATATATTGTTTTCCATAGATATTTTATTATACTCTTACAGCTTAATATTTTCCTATCAATGATCATAAAAACAGAACTGCTCGTTTCACTGCACAAGCAACTACCTTCCCCATTCAGGCGGATGTTATTTTACGACTTAGTGTGTGATTGGCATAAACAACGCCGCTGGTTCCCAGATTAGTGTTCTTTTTCTTATTTTCTATGTGCTATCAAAAAAATTTGTTCATCAGCGTGGCGGTTCAAACAAAATTTTTATGACACGAATTTGTGGTAAAAAGAATACATCATTAATGGCTGCACGGAGGCAGCAGCTGTACATGTACTCTTATATGTATGTATGTATGTATGTATTTACGTATATGTGGAAGAAGTTTTTTTTGTTCTACTATAATCAAGTAGTATAAGTAATGGCAAATCATTTCAGGCACCCAATTGACCCACAAAAGTATCAAGCTCGAACACAAATTTAATTTATTGTCGATTCTATTTCGGTAGAGCAGAAATAATCTTCTACTATGTGCTTATGTACATACACACAGCTACACATATGAGAATGCGCTTGAATTTGTGTTTAATCTCAATCTCTCTCTCTCATCTTCTCTACTCCTCTGTTTTGGTATATTTTAGTGGAGCAAATTGCAAATGACGTGTCAGCAATTGGATTGCATGCAACGACATGCTGAAGGACATGGCGATTTGTGGCACAAGCAAGCCAGCATTTTGAATGAGACTCATCAAAAGACTGATACAACAGCTGCGGTCTGTCGGACAGCTTATGCAGGAGGGGCAGTAGTGGTGGCGGCAACAGCGGCGGCAACTGCGACAATAGACATCGCACCGGACACCTTGACACCCGATTCCTTAATAAATGGTACACCAGTGGCGGTAACGGAGGTGCTAGCCGCACCTACAACAGTTAACGCTGATATTGCCTGCTCGACTGGCGATTCAATTGTAGCAGCTGTTGGTGGTTGTGTACTCGGTGCACCGATGTTAACTGTAACAGGTGGCAGTGGTGGTGGTGGTGGTGATGGCATGCAGGTAGAAATTGCAGCGACTTCCGCTCTATGTGCAAATCGAAGCCAAGTAGCTAAGGCAGCAACGGAAATGAAAGCAACCACAACATGCAATGGCAGTGGCAACAACACTAACAACAACAGCAGCAGCAGCAGCAACAATAGTACAACCAGCAGCAATAGTAGTCATGCAATAGGTGCGAGTAGAAAAATAATTAAAACGGCAACAACACTAACAACTACTAGACCAACGGGAATTCGTGGTGAAGCTGCACATGCAACTGGAACTGGAACTACGACTACAGCTACAACTACTACAGCAACAACTAGTGCAACAGCGACGAAACCAAATGATTGGGTTGTGATTCCGGTATTTGCGGATATTGTTAAATTGGCACTGGCCGGACGCGAGGAATGCCTTCAGCGGTAAGCTCAAATTCACTCTCAGTCTCACATATCCGGTTTTATGTACATAGCTATGTATCTACATATGTATGTATGTCAAACAACTGCCATAACTCAACCAACAACAACAAACTCACAACACACACATGCACACTCACAGGTACCTGTACGATTTATAATTTCCCAGTCAGTTTGCATCCAGTTCACGCCTGTGTTGCACAGTAATTGTGGCATATCAATCATACGCCCTGTGGCACAGGCGGATATGCAAGTTTTATTATGAAAATTGGTATGGAATTTGTTATGAGCAATGGCAGAGACAATATTAATTGGCAGTGTGCAAAGGTAAAATTAGCTGAAATGTTGCTTAGACAGCGGGTGATTACAGCAGCAAGTGATCTCAACAAAGTTAATTTTCTAATACTTCTGTATGCCTGTAGGAAGAAGCAAAAAGTACTATTTTTGGAGTAAAATTTCTTTGCGTTCGACTGAGTGTAAATGCAAACATCGATTTAACGAAAAAACGACACTTTTTTGTTGGGCTCTTATTCCAAACGAATAATCGATATAAAATGGTAGGGTTTGGGTGGGGGGTGGTTTGTCACAATTAAGATTAAGATCAAGATTGAGTTTGAGATTAAGATTAAAATAGCTTCAATAATTATGCAGAAAAATAGTCAAGTAATATGGCGAAGGCATTTTTTGTTAATGTCATCAGATCTGCAACGTTCGTTCGATTTTCAAAACTGTGATATTAAATTAAGAAGTTTTTTTTTTAGTTTTGCGGAGAGTTGGCACTGATCAAAAAATTAAATTCAAATTAGTTAATAAGTTAAATCATTTATTCCGAATTTTATTTAGCAGTGTTGCCAAATGTTTAAAGAATCAAATTCAACTTGAGTTCGGGCAATTGGGTAATTGAAATATGCATTAAAGCATAAACAGACAGCAGCGTTGATCTGGATCAACTCGGGAATTAACTGCGGTTGATCCGAATTAAGTCCGTGTTAATCCGGATCAACGCTGCCGTCTGTTTAAGCTTTTAGAAGAAAGGTGTCAGTCGAAAGATTTTAGTTTGAAAATATTTTGGAGAGAGTTGCCACCAGTTTGAAAACTCGAATTAAATTAAATTATGCACAGGTTTTATAATCTTAAATTTGAACTCCTAGAACATTTCCGAGGTATTTTAAGAGGGGTGCCACCGGTTTAAAAATTTAAATTCAAATTAATTAATAAAAAATTAATTAAAAGATTAGTATCAATCCAAATGGATTTGAAATGCTTTATTTCTAAACTATATTTGGAAGTGTTGCCACGTATTTTTTGATACAAATTTAAATTAATTCTCAACTATTTAAAATTCGTATGCCAAAGCCAACTTCCGTCAGCTTCCCTGATAATTATACATATAAGGAAGTTGTTAGCATATTTGTCTACGGGTCAGTGCACCGCAATAAGTGCTTTACCGAAAACCTTTGCTTTCGTCTGGTTATAGTCAACCAGAGTTTGCTGGGTATGCATTATTGACACTTAAGCAGGTTAGGTAACGATATTAGATAATATTTAAGCAGGAATCTCGAAAAACATATACATACTTTTTATTGATTTGCGAAAGTTGTATATAACCTAAAAAATTCTTGTACATAGTAATGTGTCAAGAGACAAGCTGAACCTTTAAGTATTGTTTTGACACACACCTGTTATATTGTTCCTTTTCAGAGTTTACCACCCTTTTCAGAAGTCTCCTGGCCTTTCTTCTAATCTTGTATGTTTTCTCTGGCTATTTTTTCTCAGTGGATATGCTAACTCAAAAAAACCAATCCTCGCCGATTGTCTCTTCAATTGATTTCAAGTTTATTGAACCCTGATATATGTGTTGCTTGATTTTACCGACTGGGTGGTAGGATTATTTATTTTGGAAGGAACCACAAGGGATGACGACAATTCGCTCCAAAATAAATCAACTCTGATATACTTTTAAGTGGCAACATAAACCTTTACCAGTCTGCTCCTTTGACCATTTTGTTGCCTTTCCGCAACATGTGTCGTTGGCAGAGTGAATCTGGCATACACAATTTTTGAATTTTTTCCCCCAAAATTATCCAGAACCTTAGCAAAGTGCATTCTTTTTTTTGGGGTTGTAGCGTTTTTTATGGCCGGGCTAGTCCACCGGATATGGCCAGGGTGCAAAGTGTATTCAATCGTACGCGGTGCTACAACACATTTGCCCGGTTTTTCTGGCCTTCAGAATTGAAGAAGCTTATGCCTCCAAGTTCACAGATGCGCCACAGATGCTTCCTAAATACTATTTATTGAGGGTTCACTTTGATTTGAGTTAAAATATTTTCAGTCATACCTAAAGGAAATAAAAACTAAGCGGTCTTCTAATACATACATAAAAGTGCTATACATAAAAGTGTAACAGCCTGCCGAAAACAAATTTTAACAGCTGCAGGCAATGAAGTGCAAATTTCTATTGCCTACAAAAAAAAAAAAGTAAAATTTATTATTTTATTACTTTGTTGAATACACTTTCGCTTGCGTGTTAATAGAAATTTGTACACTCCTCATTATTTTCTTCTCTTCCTGGTGCAAATTTAGGCAAAGCCTTTTTATTTTTTATTACTTGTTGATGATGCCATCACTAGAGTGGTCCATTCAACTAACGTGCTGTTAAATGCAATAAAATTCCAGTTTATGCTTTATTAAATTCAACAACACCGCCATAACACCAACGCATTACCGGAGCTTTCAGGCTCCAACACATACATAGCTACAGCCATAGTGGTACATTAAAGCAATCAGCTGCCAACCGACGAAATAGCCTGGCGCCTACTGACTGCCTACTTACCTATGTAAGTATTTACTTACATACATATGTGTGCCTATGTGTGTATGTATGTATGTATGTATCCGAGCACCAACAACGTTCTACTTAAATCCAATTTCAAGTGGCCAGCAGGCGTCGGCGCAGCAATCATTAGCGCCCGCTGTCATTTAACTCGACTCTGCACGGCCCAACAGAAAAGCGCAGCGTAAATAAACACATTTGCACACAAACTCGTAATCGTATGTATATACATATGTATATATGTATTTATGTATGTACGCATCGTCATCGTCATGCTCATGTTCTTGCTTGCGTACTTGTTTATGCTTTTCTCTATTATCTACATATGTGTTTTTGCAACAGTGCGTATACGTTATTTTATTGCATGAAAATGTGTTGCACATACTCGTACAGCGAGAGGACCTACATACATACGTACGCCTGCTTGTTTACACATTTTACCATTAATTCATTCACACAAACATATGTACGCATATTAAGTACGCTTGCACAGCAGTATACCGCACCGTTTGTCATTGACGACCAACTCACCCACAAACTGGCCAACGGCATTGCTAAATAGCAAGTGTTGTTGCTACGCCGCACAGTGTGCTTTTTCTACACCCCATGCGAATTGATCGTAGCGCTTTCGACAGAAGCAACAATTTGGTATGAAACAAAATGGTTTTGAAAGCTACTGTAAATCCCTTTCACGAAAAGGTATTGCCATTGAGCCACAATTACTTTTAGCCCATCAAAATAATAGTGTACAGCCGTTTCTGAGTAAAGAGAGGTCTAACTAACTAAACTCTTCTTGAATCTCTTCCGTCTGACATATTGATACACATGTATTCCAATAAACTGATTTGATTACCCCTGACCCCCTCTTTTAATAATTCATTTCACCTTTTAAACATATGACAACCCTCTTGAAACACCTCAAAAACATTCGGAATATTCAAGCGAAATATTTTTTAACACTTTTTCGTTTGACACCCATATTTCATGTAACCTATGCAATAGTTAGCTAAGGTCGACTTTTTAAGTAGGCGGCAACCCTTTACAAAACTATTTTTAAACTTAAACCTTCTTAAGCTCTTTCCTCTGACACTCATATCGTGTTACATACATATGTATGAATGTATTTCATTTATCCAATTGCATTAATTAAATTTAAATTTGATTTTATATACATGTGGCAACCCCGCTAAAGATAGCTGAGAAAAAAAAATGTTTCAAATTCAAAAGTTTAAAAATACATAATTCATTTAAGTTATTAACTAATTTCAATTTAACTTTTGAAACGGGTGGCAACCCTCTTCCAACATTTGAAAAATATTCTTAGTGTTCAACCTAATGGCATCTTAACACTCTTTCTTTTGTCATCCGTATTTTGATGTTTTATATGATTTGTGTATAAGTTAACCCAATTCGACATTTCAAGCAGGTGGCAACTCTAACTACTTAAAAAATGTAAACGACAGATTTATAGGAAATTGAGGTAGTGTGAAATTTTTATGAATTATTTGAGCTAAATTATAGAGACTGTTCAAACCCAATATCTCGAGAAATATCGATTTGGTATTCCGTAACTTTTTTGTAGGAAATTTAGTTTCTTCAGACAGGTACAGCATAATTTCCCACCAGCCTTATTTTGAAGTTAACATTAGTTATGACCAGTTATGAAAAAAGCGTCGATTTTTCGAATATGGTTTCTTTTTATTGTTTTCCAAAGTGTCAACTCGCAATCAAAATTCATTTCATAGTTTTAGAAACTTGTACAAACAAAGTATAGCTTTCCTTTAAAAAAAAAAGAATTATAGAAATCGATTAACGTGGTCCAAAGTTATGCGGTAACATATATAACAAAAAAAAAAAAAAAAAAATATTCGGACGAATTTGGTACCTTTCTCCTTTTTGCGAAGTCAGTTAAAAACTAGTTTACGCAGTTTAAACTGCGGACTATCATTTCTCGGAGTTCCAAATTTGAGCAAATTCTGTTAAGAGCGCGCAAATCTATTTTGAAAAATATTGCTTAAAATGCTTTTATTGCCAAACATTTGGCATTAAAATAAAAAAAAAAAATTCTCACCTTTCATTTTTGCATATCTGGCCACTTTGCGACATTGTGCCCCATTAGCCAGTATAACAACGAGGAACTATACGTACGTATATGTACAAATGTATATAT